GTTAAGAGAGTTTGTGTTTTAACATAATACATGAAGAGGAACTTTCATTTCAATGGTTCTAAATTTTATGTGTATTTATAACAATTAGCTTGATTAACCATCAGTGGATTGTTTTATTACTGCTTTTCCTGAAAAAACAATTTTGCAAAAAATAAGAGGTAATACACAATAATGATTCTTAAATACATGAAAACTCACCCCAAATGTGGCAATCCTGACACACACAATGAAACAGATGTGCAGCATAAAGTGGATCTATCCCCAAACCTTTTATTTCACTTCCAATTATATTGCAAATACGAATAAATATTATATTAAAATATGACATCTGTATTTTTTAGACAATTTGCCGTTTTTGCTGAGATGTAAAATTAATTTAAAAAAAAAAAAGAAGGATCATCTTCCACCTTGTGGCATGCTGAGTTTTACAAAGGGCGGGTATGGTTGTACATGTTTACAGTGCTGCACAGCATCCTGAAGCTAACCAGTAGACCCTGAATGCTGTTCAACAAGGCTTGTTATCCAGAGGAAGAGCAAATCTACCAGTCTTTTCTGGCAAGGCTTCATGGAGCCTTTATCTCACTTTCCACAAGAATGCAGTAGCAGGATGAAGATGAAAACACCTCTTTTCCATGCTGAATTTCTGCTGTAGTAGAATGGCTTTCCCCTTGACAACATCCCATTTTGTTATGTGTTATGGACATGGTAGTAGTAGAGCCTACATATACAATCATTGTGCCATTTAAAGCAGATCTCAGAGACCCAGAAATGACAAGACAAGGATTATAATGATTTTCAGTTCAAACTGAATCAGTGGTCTCAACAAGATTAGCATACTTTCAGAATATTGCTAAGTATGAACATGATACGATGTTTGTGGTTAAAGCCATCCGTTTCTAGGACTCAGGTGTTAAAATGACCAATGAACTGTTGAGCAGAATGCTCTACAGCCTAAATTAGCCCTACTTTGATAATTGATTTCAGTTCTCTACTAAAAGGAGCGGTTGAGACTAAAAGACAACTAATTTTAGCAAAAAAAAAAAGAAAATAGCTTGGGTAAGTACTCTGAGAGACAATGATCACTTAAGAAACAGAGTCTCCATTTCCCCTGTAAAGGAAAAGTTTACAATGATGAGAGAAAACTTTATTATCTGCTTTCTGATAAAGCATCACTTCCAATTCAGCCAACTCAGCAATTAAAACTCCCAACATTACTTCTGTCAACATTTGCCAACTACTAATAATCAATAAGGTAAAGAGGTATTTAGAGAGTGTTACCAAGATCATTTCTACTTAAAGCAGAGCCCTCTAATAGTGGCTTCATTCCTTCTTCTCAGAGCTAAATTGGTTTAAATATGCCAGTGTATTAGTACTGCTCCTTTCTTTCCACAAGCTGTGCCTCCAGTTATCTGAGAAGACCTATGCAGTCCTGAATGGAAGATTCAACCACACAGTGGTGAATGGAAAAAGTAGGATTGCAAGATACTGTCCATCATGGAAAATGCTGAAAAACCCTGACTTTGTAAATCAGTATCAACCAATGCGCTGCAAAATACATCATAAACCTGAAGTTCTAGACAGCTAACTCTGAAGTAGTAACACCATTTTACATTTCAGAACATTTCACAAACATTAGGACAATCTCAGGAGGCCTTTGAGTCAATTTAATCCTTTAAAGGTGTTCCAACAGTTGAAAGTTATCGGAATATGCAGGTTTTCCAAACACATCTCCTCTTCAAAACAGATTTTTAAAAAAAGATTAGTGTGAGTATGTGGCATGTTTTGAGTTAATAATTCTCTGCTGGGAGATAAAATTTAACCTGGAGAAATAGGGTTTGATCCAGAAGAACTTTTTATTTAGGCTTTGGGCAATTGCATGTCTCCCAGCTAACCAAGATTTCTCCTTCAGCTAATACAGAACAGACATTCATCTTTCATGAGTTTTTAAGAATAAATGTTGAAATCTGATGGACCCTTTGGTGCAAAGCACTCTGGATGTACTCAGTTATTCAGCATTGCACAGGATTTTACTTGTTCAGTTGAACCAAACTGCAATTGCCGAAATTCATCTGTACCTGGAGGAAAACCAGCCCGCATCTATTATCTACTGGGCAGACATACCAGTTTACAGGTACTCTGCCCAGTTTCCTTATTACCTGCTTTCTGAATGACAAACTGAACAGATATAAGACTTCACAGATCTCTTTAAGAAGTCAAGGCAAAAATACCATTTTTATGCAACATCTGTTTTGATACTCATGTGTTGTAACAGAGTCCAATACGTGTAGATACCAGTTAATTTGGGGGTTACAAAGTGAAACTACATGTCACTGTAGGACTGATTCATTACATGGTGTATCTAGGAAATGAGCTGCTCAGCCATGAGCATTGGCACAGACTGTTGCTTTTCTAAAAATTAGGACAAAATGACTGTGGGAATCTTTATGCTTTAAGGGAAAATCTTCCACAAGCTCAGGAAACCTGGGATGAACTTTTTTCCTTTATGGGAAAGGAGGCCATGCTAGTGAACTACAGCTTGTGGTCACTTGCTGCTCTTTCTGCCCTGACATAAACCTGGCTTAACAGCAGAGAACTGTGGGAGAGAAGTGTACTGCTCAAACAGCTGCACTCTTATCTTCTTTGCCAGAGGCAAAATGGAGAGGAAACCTCCTCTGGCAGCCTTGGCCACTGCCCACGTGCATAACTGGTTCTGTCTGGGAGAGACAGTTGGGAAACAGGGAATCTATTCCAAGTGATCTGTGGAGTTTAAGATAAAATTCCAAGTAGAACAAACTTGCAGTAATGTAGTGAGCGATTGGAAATCACACTGTTCTTCAGTGCACTGATGCCCTTCCTTGGGGACCTAGCAGCAGGTCAACCAGGTAGAAAACAGTGTGAGATTAGCACAAATCTTTTTTCTTTATGAGATGTGCTTGAATTAAACTGAACATGGTCCCCAGAAATCAGTAACTGCTCTTTTAACTCCTGAAAGAAGCAGATGAGTTGCACTTAAAATATAATATCAACTGTTATGCCTTAAAAGCAACTATAAACAAGTGTTTAATGGTGGTTTTGACATTGTTCACACCAGCCTGTGAATGCATTTTTTTGCAAAACATTCCTGGGTGGGAATCGTGACAGAAGGGAGAAGAAGGTTTCCATTTAACACTTGTTTGAATACATGTGATTTGGTACTGTGGGTATACAGGAGCGTAATGTCCTCTTTCTTCTCCATTCGTGAGAGCTTTGGGAAGATCTGCCTGATGCCTGGTGGTACAGAGCGCTACCTTCGCAAGCCATCTCCAAAAGCTATGCTTCCTGCCATGAACAAGTGAGTTTCTTTGTTGCAAAGAGCCTTCTCACTGCTACACTTCCTAGGGGTAAACGATGTACTTTGTATGTTAGTGCACAGCAACATTTAAGCCATTCCACCAGCACAGCACCCACACCTGCTTTATGTTTTGGTTTGGCTTGTTTTGTTTTTTTTCATGGTGCTGAAAGTATTTGTTACCACAATAGCAGATAAATTTAAATTATATTTTTTAAGTGAAAAGTTCTGCCCAACCATTAAAGGGTTTTGACATTGATACTTATTTCTCACTTAGTGTTTGTCTATGGAAGAACCACTCAGCAGGTACTGCAGATCTGCCCATTTACCTCAGTTCCCAGAGGACAGCGGAAGACATGAAAAGAAAAAAAGAAAACAAAAAAGCAGGCAACTTGGTGACCTTTATAGACTTCCTTTATGTTGCCCTATTACTAAGACTCTGGATGCACACTGTAACCAAACCAAGCTTGCTGTTGGGCTTGAGGCAGGGAGCAGAAAGTTGGGAAATTCAAACTGTACTGTTGTCTCTGACCTTTGGACCTTCAACTGAGCACAGCTCTGCTGTACCAAAGTATCAGAAGGCACAGCTCTGTGGGTTTTAAAAGCAACATTATCGTTAACATTAGTATGCAGCTGCTGGAAGTGCTGATAGATCGTGTTTGTTGGTGGGTGTTCAAGTTGCTGTTATGGAGTATGTCTCAGCTGTGTGGCACCTGTGGTTCAATCAGCAACAGCAACATCAGTACTCCACATAAGTTTGGAAGAGGCCAGGAGCAGATTCCTAAGAGACCGTGCTACATTCCTATCCCTAAATATAATGCACATATCCTTTTACTTGTCCCTTTGGAAACAGTATGTAGCACACAGACTATTTCAGAGCTTATTTTTATGGCACAGCTTGTATCAAATACAAGGTTTGTAACAACTTAAATATATGTTTCCCAGTATTTTACCCAAAACATGGATTTTTATACATTTTTTTCCTAGTTGGCACTAATACTACTAACAGTGGTAAATGACCATTAAACAATGATCCCCAATGTCAAGTGAAAAATACTAAAGAACATGTGAGTGATTAGAGTGCTAATCTCAGCTCAGCAATGATAACCCTGTGATTAAGCTTGACTAAAAAGGATTTCTTCATTACTTGCATGTGAACCTGCTCATCGTACAAAACCGACTTAATAGCGGGGATGTTTTGAACACTCCAGGTGTTCCCAGACTCGGACTATTTTTCTGCCTGTGACCATTGCCACGCTGGGACCTGAGGCGTTACGGATTCGCTTCTGCAGCCCGTGAGCGTCCCGTCCCGCACCCCGACAGGCGCTGCCACGCCGGGGCGGGGTTGCTCTGCCTGGCTCCGCAGTGCCCTGGCACCTCCTTCCCCTCAGTGGAGCACACCGCAGCGCTTTAAATCTCTCCCCGTTAACGCGCTTCCTCCGCACCAGGGAGGAGAAGCTCCCTGGCCGTGCTGCTGCCCTGCCGCGGCCCCAGGCCTCCAGCCCGCGCCACCCCAAGCGCGGGCGCTGGGCCCGGCCTAACGTCCCCGCCTGCCATTGAAAGCCGCACCAGACACGTCACCGCCCCGCCGCGGCGAGGCGAGGCGGGCACAGCGCGACTGCGGCTGCGCCAGAGCGAGGGCTATGCGCCCCCGGCCGCCAATGGAGCGGATACAAAGTGACCTTGGCGGGGCGGTCCGCCTCCTTCCGCTGCGCTGCATCCGGGCGCTTCCCGCCGGTCCCCCGCGCCTGCGCGTAGAAGTCCCAGTCTGTCGGGTCTGAGGTGCGGCAGCCGGAGCGGGTGAGAAGTACCGCTGCGCTATCCGCGATCATCGCCTCCTCTCTCTGTCGCCGCGGCTTCCTCACCCTCTCCCCTTTCTCTGCAGAGACACCGGACTGTGGGCCCCGGGACGCCGCCCCCTAAGATGTTCGCTTGCGCCAAGCTCGCCGCCTCGCCCTCCCTGGTGAGTGGGGGCGCCCAGGCCCACGGGGGGCGCCGGGGCCGCTTCGAATGCCGTGTCCCGGGCGGCGGCGATGATCGCAGGGCGCCCGGTAGTCGATCGGGTCCGTGAGGCCCTCGGTAGGCCCCTGAGACGAGTTAGTACGTGGGGCTGCCCGGCCGAGTGCGAAAGGGTGAAGGGGGCTGCTGTGGGCCCGGGTTCTCCTTCCCGCTTCCTTCGTGTGGGGCAGAGTCCTTTGCCAAGGTGAGGGGCCTTCCCGCACGGGCGATGAAGGGGGAGGGCAGCTCATCGAAAAGCTCTTGGGCCTGGTGCGCTCTGCACCTTGCTGTAGGTCAAACTCTAGCCTGTTGCTTGTCCTATGCAAGGCCGGGATTTTTTTGCCCTTGCAAAGACAAGGGGCTGTCCTGCTTGAAAACGCCCTCGCTAGCCTGCAGAACGTCTCGTTTTGCAGGGTGCAGGCGCGGGTTTACCCTGTAGGAAGAGCTCTCTGCACGAGCCGATATGACCTTAGTCTGCTGGAAGCCCAAGGACATATGCAAGCCGCTTGTGAAAAGACGGTTCATTCATTTATGCCTGACGATTTAAAAGCCTATGTTATGTCTGTGCATTTAATAATTTTAGAATTAATTTTGATGGCTTTTGGGTTTTTATTTCAAAATGTGTATTGCTGCCTGCTGGTTTGCCTACTTTTTTGTTGCTGTTGTGCTGTATTTTCTCTCAGTATAAATCATGTACAGGTTCATTGAATGACATAACTATTCACAATAATGTCTCCTGAGAACAGTACTATCAGGTTTCATGGTTGTGTTCGCTTCTGTGGCTTTTATTGTATATCCAGATATGCAAAGATTGCTGTTTTTCGAGTAAGACAAATGGCTTAGTAGCTAATAGCCTTAGAATCTTACAGGCTATTGTATTGGAACAGCTGTGATCAAATGTGGGGGTTTTAATAGCTTTTTTCCTCCTCTTGCAGATCCGTGCTGGATCAAGAATCTTGTACAGACCAATTTCGGCATCTGTGTTGTCTAGGCCAGAGGTCAAGAATGGAGAGGTACCTTATAAACAAAATTCTGTATCTTCCTAAATTACCTGGTGAGCCTAAATGTCCTCAACCTAGAGTTCACTTGTACTAACTCAAATACCTATAGTATGAAACTTGCTTTAAGTCAAACACCTCATAATACCTGTTGCTGTCCTGCTGTTTCCCCTGAAAAGTCTTTTATATTTAAATTTGATTGCTTTCGTGTGGAACAGGTAACACTGAAGTTTTTTTAACTCTTAGTATAGTCTCATCACTTGGAAGAGCAGCTAGACATTGGATCTAATACAACTTTTGAAACTGCAAAATAACACTATTCAAGTGGTCATAGGTGATGATCTCTGTCTGAATATAATCTTTTTCATGTTTTGTTTTCTTAGGGCAACTCAACACTTAATGGGGCCCAAAATACTGTCTCCCGACTAGCACTTAGAGAATTCCAGACTAGTGCTATCAGCAGGGACATTGACACTGCTGCCAAATTTATTGGTGCTGGTGCTGCCACAGTAGGTGTGGCTGGTTCTGGTGCTGGTATTGGAACAGTCTTCGGTAGTCTAATCATTGGTTATGCCAGGTAATCAATCTCTGTCTTACAAAGCTCTCTAATTGCATGCAGGTATATGTTGAGACAGCACTCCCCAGATAAGCCAAGTGGTAATAAGGATGATGGCACTAAAATAAGTTCTGTTAATAATTACTGTTAGTGATAAACATGGCTAAATAGAATAATATGAAACTGCATTCATTGGGATGCCTCCATTGTTAAATTCAGAATTTTGTAAACTCCTACCTAGAGAAGAGACATGAAAAAAGTGAGATTATTAGACTTTGTTGATGTTCTGATCACCAAAGTCGTGTTTCAGCATTCAGTTCCAAAACTGAACTAAAAATCTAGCTTGGAGATTTTTTTTTTCCCCATGTGAGGGGAGCGGTCCTAAAGAGAGACTGCATGAAAACTGGTAATAAGCAATGTGAGTTTGTATGCTTTAGACTTTGTAGTCAGGATTGTTGCTTAGAAATTGGTGCTTAATTCATTTTTCTGACACAATCAGCTTTGTATCTCAGGCTGTGTAACTATTTTATAGAATGAAATCTGAAGGGGGTGGGAATTTTATAGTAGGGATGAGCTTCTTCCAGATAAGTTTACAGTGTTTGTGTAGTAGAAATAGTTCACGTGGTATCATGGAAGAGCTGACTTGATACTGACATAAAAAAAGCTTTTAACAGACTGTTTCATGTTCTTTGCTCTTTCAGCCAGGTAAGACAATGTCTTATTTCTTAATAAAGATTTTTAAGCTCTACTGAAGACGAGGAAGTTCACCTTCCACTTGAAGAAATACAAGTATTTTCAGTACAAAACTAATGTCTCCTTAATTTGGCATGAACATGTCAATAAGAGGTTGTAGAATATTACTTCATATTGAAGGTTTTTTCTACTCTTCCACACACTTGGAGAGATGATTCATTGCATTTTTGAAACAAACTGCTGTGTAGTTTGTTTTTTTTTTTTTTTTGGTCTAGGTGGTTTCAGTTCCTGTATTTGTGTTAGACTTACTTAAAATGCTACACACAAACTTCCTTGGAATATAGTTTTTGTGTCACAGATGTGAAATTTACAAAACATAATGCTGACAGTTCCTGCGTGGGAGGATGTGGAGAAGTCAAATTCAAAAGCATATAGGAATGTAGTCAACAAAAACTGTGCTTATTTGGAACAGCCATAAAAAGTCTGCATAACCTGAATCTAGTCTTAGTTGCCAACTCATTTGTCTTCAGTAAGATCCTTGCTAAAAATTACTTCTGCTTAGATTTATGGGATTTTCCTGTTACGGAATATGTGGCAAGGAAGTATGAGGTTCTGAATCTCAGATGCATTAAACTGTGTGAAAAACATCTTAATTGTAAAGATAAAAAGGACTTACACCTTCGCTTTCTTTTAGAAATCCTTCTCTGAAGCAGCAGCTGTTCTCATATGCTATCCTGGGATTCGCCCTGTCTGAAGCTATGGGTCTCTTCTGTCTGATGGTTGCTTTCTTGATCTTATTTGCCATGTGAAAGGAGATCTGCCTGTAATACTGGCATTGGAATGTAACTGCATTTTATGGGACTCCCAAAATGTTGGTATCATGGAAATTGATGCTATTTCCGAAGTCATTTCATTAAAGATAACAACTTTAACTGTCAACCTGTTGCCTGCATTTATTATCTTTCTCGCTAGGGTATCTGGAAGACAGCATCTTGTCATTCAGTCACCACGGATTTCTCCTTATAATGACATATCACATAGAACCCTTCAAATAATGACTTCAAGTCAAACATTTATTAATGTATATGGGCATGTTACTTGTCTGTTAAAGTTAATGTGGCATATCCTTGAAAATCAAAGGTTACACAGATTACATTTGAAAGGCTGTACTGCTGGCCTTGTTCCTTCACTTGCATTTCAAACTTACCCAGATCCGTTTCTGCACAGTTTTTCTCTCAGGCTGGTTGGCATGTAACGTGTTCTGGCGCCTTTTGCTAGAAGGAGCTAAACACAAATCCACAGTGATGGGAGAGTTCACTGCGTAAGTTTTCAGTTACATGATAAATTTTGATCACCATGGTAAAATATTTCCACTTGGGTCTGACCAGTGTTCCAGTTGAACTAAACTAACAGCTTCTTCAGGTGATCCACATTTTTAGGTGGTCTGGAATTGTGGCACATTGATACTACACTCTTACTTAGTTTCTGCATTCTTGGCATCAGGTAATTAAAAGGGAGAACTTCCAGCTTCCTAATTTTGTTAAGTCAGCCTTGCATTCTCAAGTTCTTTTAGTAGCAGTAGGATCAAAGCATTTCTATTAAGAAAATACCTGCAGTTATCTAGCTTTGCTTCTCACTGTATCTGTCTTAACAATCTAAATGCATTTACGGTGTTGTCTATGCTTACAGCAACATGCTGTGTGCTACTATATGCTAATCTGGTAGGGGAGGTGATAGCATCTCAAGCTTTATTCAGAATATTAAGTAATAGATCTGATCATTCAACAAGTGTAAGCTGTACTTTGGAACAACATGGGTAAGCTTATTATAAGCTTTGTCAACTTGCTGTTAAATGAGTGATTACTGAATTAGATCTAGGAAAGTTTTTAATGTAAGCTGCCTATCCCTGAGGAAATGGAGAAATGACTAGTGGCTCTCAGACCATTGCAAGGTGCAGGTAAGATTTTTATTTTCATCCAAATTCAAATACCACGTGTTCATAGACATAGTTTAGTGGGAGACTTGGTGGTCCTGAATGAGTCTATGATTCATGTAGCCTAACTTGAACCTAGCATGAGAAGTTCATCTCCCCATACGTTCTTAGGAGAACATAGTCATCTCAAAAGGATTAAAAGTTGCTGTGTAGACAGAGCATCCATTTATATATGTGAGGTTTAGGAGTGTAGAATGTGCAGCATCTTTAAATATTCAGCTATAGCACAGTAGTGCCTTATATGACTAGGTCTGGAAGTGGGTTTTTCTGCAGGGTTGAGGGAGGGTTAGGAGGTAAATCATACTGCAGTTATCTTCCATGTGGTTTATGCTCACAGTGTTTACCAGCCTACTGTTCATTCTCATAAGTTGTTTTGTTACAGAGCTGACATACAGTGCATTTGCCTTGGATGAAAGGTAGATAATGATCATTAGAATTCTAGACTAAAGCTCATCTGTGTACTTCTGTGCTTCTGGTAGGTAAACTTTGCTCTGTCCTTTCAGTACTGTAGGGATCTCTGCAGGCATTTGAGGTGGCAATCCATATTTGCTAATATTGTGGAGGTAGTCTAATGAGGTAGCTTAATTCCAGCTTTGATCAAACAAGTATCTTCAGACTTGTCTTGGTCAAGTCTAGCTCCAAGTCTGTTAATTGTACTTACCAAATTATTTGAACCATATAAAATGGTTCTGCTGAGTTGTGATTGTGTTTGGTGTAGGAAGATCTGGCTAAGCTATTGCTCTGTAACCTCAATAAGAAAGCCACAGGAGTCACCAAGTTTTGAATAACTTCTGGATTTACATCCCATCTTTTCCCATGCAGTTCACCCTGTCAGCATGTACCCCTTTCTCTATGATCAGCCGTGTGAAAGGCAGCGGACATCTCAGGTGATCCTGTATACGGATGTGAAGCCTGTCTTAGTAGTAGCGTCTCCCCAAGCTTGTTATGTTCTAACTCACTCTTAGACTGGTGAGCATGGGCAAAACCCAAGCAAACTTGCTGTTTGGTTATGTCAATCTCAAAAGAATCAGATCTCAGTGTTACAGATAGAGACGAATCAAGGACTCTTCAAAACATGGCAACAAACCTTCACACAGAGGATTATCTTCGTTATAGACAATAAGGGGCTTAGAGACAAGCAATGGGTGGATTTTCACATCTGAATGATCACAGGGCACATTGCTGCCTTTTTCCATTTCTGTATTTATCTTGTTCTTGTAAAACAGTGTAGTTTCAGTGGTTACTTAAGCATTTGGTCAGTTTGAGTGGTCTTACAAAGACAGAAGATACTCTTCAGTTTTCATAAAATGTTCATAAAAGAGACAAATGTGTAAAAGATCAAATGTTTTTTTACCAAAATAAAAAACAAAAGCCACGATAAACCCTCACCCCAAACCAAAATTCTCCCAACCTCTTTGCATTGAGTGATGAGGCAGCAGCAGGACTCTTACAGAATCATAGAATGGTTTGGGTTGGAAAGGACATTAAGGTTATCTAGTTCCAATACCCCTGATATGGGCAGGGGCACTTTCCACTAGACCAGGTTGGTTAAAGTCCTGTCCAACATGACCTTGCACACTGGCAGGGATGGGGCAGCCACAGCTTCTCTGGGTAACCTGTGCCAGTGGCTCACCACTCTCACAATAAAATATTTTCTTATATCCAACCTAAATCTTCCCTGTTTAAGTCTGAACCCAAACTTAACTTCTCCTTAAAAGTTTATATCAAGAAGTCTTTTTTCATAGGTTAGAGAAAACAGATTGAAAGTTCCATGAGGTGAGGCTATAGGTTTCACTTCCCTGAAACCTTTTTCAGTTTCTTTTGCCATGGACTGTACTGACCTTAAAGACTGTCAGTTCATGGAAATCTGCACTGTAGGTTCTCCAGATCCAAAGACTCTTCATGTTTCATTGTTGAAGCTGAAGCAAAGATTTGCATTGTGTCTGCTGGCTGCTGTCCCAATAGATCAGACAGCATGCCACCTCTGAAAGCGATGAGCACAATAGCATTATCCTAACGTATAATGAAGGAAATGTTTGTGTTACAAATTACACTCTTAAGTTATTGCTGCAGGTAAAAAAGTGATTCATCCTGCTGCTTTTTTTTTTCTTTTTGCTTGCTTCCCCCCCCCCCCCCCCCCCCCCCCGCTTTCACTCCATTTATGGGTGGTTTTTTTTTTGCACCAATTTTAGAAGGAAGAAAGGCAACCTGTGGTTCAGGTTTTTGTTCAGGGCCTATGTTGCCATGTGATGGTAGAGCTAAACCACTGCAAAATACTTGTTTACATACAGCTTTAAGTTGCTTTGTGAAGAAATATGATCTTTATTCCTGTTTTTCTGCACTCATATTTAAACCCTTTGCAACATGCTCACAGTAAAGAGTAATTCCACCTTTAAGGAAACATGTACTTTTACGCACTGGTTTTTATCCCACCTTATCTTAACTTTGCAAAATTGTTGCACAAAAATAATTTGCAAGAAATGAAACATACCATATTGTCTTTTGTAAGTTCAGGGAAACCTAGACAAAACGTAATTTCCTGGAACTAATGCTACTATTTTAAAATTTTGTATTTTTGTTGTTGTTACTCATATTTTCACACTCTCAGATCGGTCTTGGAGTAAGACAATTCCAGGTGATACATAGGCAGAGAATTAAAACTTCATCTGTGATTCAAGGTACATAGTGGCTGAACTGTTTCAGCACATATCATATATAATGATGGGTTTTTAATTAATGCAAAATGCTTCCAGTTCCTCGTTTGTAAAATTTATGTACTTCCCTTCGTTGTATAGTGCTGCAGCGGGTTTGGTACAATGTTAAATCCGCTGGACGTTTAGGAGAACCCTGGCTTCAGGCACACACCTAGCTCCTGACATGGGAGCTGTGATGCACAGAGACGGGGAAGCCAGAGGAATAGAGCCAGTACACGGGTGTGGAGGGCTGATTATTCCTAAAGTTAGACGTCTCCAGCGCACCAAGAGCTGTTGCTGAGCAAAGCCTTACAGCGATTTAGGCTCTAACCGCTTTCTGCTGCCTTCCCCTCGCAGCAACAGCACTCCTGGAGAGCCAGCAGCAGAGCATGGGAGCCTCATCCTCCGCGCTGCCCACCCGGCATAGCTGCACATATCCTCTACCCCCGGCAGCGTTACCAGTGTGGCCGGCGAGGTCTTCAGCCAGCCACACCGGCTGGGCTCCCTGGCAGACTCAGGGGTGCATTTCTGCTCTGCACGCTGGGCGCAGAACCTGCAGTTAGCACTATACCCGGGACACACGCCTCACGCCCCCTCAGCCGCACCCGGCCACTGGGCGCTTCCAGCCTCACCGGCGGCAGCGCCCAACCGGCGCCGCGGCACAGCCCTCCCCTCCGCCCCGCCCTCCCTCGCCACGTGATCCGCACCTCCCCGCTACCCGCGGAGATGTCAGCCGAGCTCTCGCGAGAAGTGACGGAAGCCTGTGGGGGACCCGGCCTTTAATGTGCGGTTCGGCCCGCGTTCCCGGGGTGAGTTTGTAAACACGAGCTCGGCCCGGCGCGGCCCGACAGCTCCTCCCTCCGCGCTGCGGCGGCGCCAGGGCGGGCGAGCGCACCGAGGGCGGAGGGGAGGGAGCGGCCGCGCTCCCCCGGCAGTAGGCGGGGGATACCCGGGAGGCAGTAACATGGCGCCGCCGCTCTTCTCCAGGGCAGCCTCCTCCCCCACCGCGGCCTGCGGCTCCCGCCGCCCCTAGAGCCGGGGCGGGGTGGCCCGGCCGGCGCCGCGGAGACCGTTACCCGCCAGGAGGTAGGGGTCCTGGCGGGCACCCCGAGGGCGCGGGGCGGAGCGGGGAGGCGAGTGGTGAAGGGGGCTGCAGCTCCCCGCGCCCCGCATCCGGAAGTGGGCTGCCCCGCGGGGGCATCGCCGGTACCTGCCCCGGGCCCGGCCCGCGGCGGGAGATGGAAGGCGGGGGG